TGATTTTTTGTTTTGAATCAGACTTCAAGGAATGCTTTCTGCACTGGATTAATCCTTAGGTCCCAATCTAGCCAAGCAGGGCTCCAGGCCATAATATGCAGACATTCTTTTGGTGATTGTGTTATTTAAAAGCAGCACATTAAAGAAGATGCTGAAGTCTTCTGTTTAGCTACAGACTGATAGGGGAACTTCATTCATTTGGCCCACTAACAAATCTAAGCACATTTTTTAAAAACTAGTAAGAATAATGGGGTCATCCAAGAGTATTAGTAATTTCAAGTACTAGTTGGCAGTTGGACCTGGACTAAGATCACTAACTCATTATTATTATAAATTTAATTATTTCAAAATAATTTCCTAGTGTAGACATGCCCTTAGAGATGAAAAGCTTTTTAGCTTATTTCTAGGCCCTTGAGCTATCAGTTTCCTCTGGGAGTTAGATATTTTCTCTGTTAAGTGTGCAGTCTGAAAAATGTATCCCTTTATCACACTAGACTGTTAAAAAAGTAGTGGATAGAATATTTTTCATTTAAGCAATATCAGTTATGGTTAGGGTTGCCAGGTGTCCGATATTGACCTGGACAGTCTGGTATTTTTGCCTCCTGTCCAGTAAAAAAAAAAAAATCAGAAAATACTGGTCACCTAAAATGTCCGGTATTTTCTGTTTCTTTTCCCGGCAAGGAGGCAAAAATACCAGACACCTGGCAACCCTAGCACCTGCCCTCTCCCCCCCAGGCCCCGACACCCCCAACCTCCCACCCCTGGACCCCATGCTTACTTGGTACTACAGAGAAGCTAAGTTCTGGCTTGAACAAGAACACAGAATGGCCGCCGGCAAAAAGCCTAAAGACCAGGGGGAAGCAAATGCCTTCTCTGGGTCTTAGTGCTCAACCGCTCTCCTGTTCCTATCCCTATTCTGACTCTGCACTCACTCTGAAAGGAGCCATGCTGTTTTAATGCTGTTTTGTCATTTATTTATTTATTTATTTACTTTGCCCCCCTCCCCCCCCGTTTTTTTCCTCAACAGAATTTTTTCCCCGGTGTTTTTTTTACCGTCTGGCAACCCTAATTGTCGTTCATGGTTTTTTTTTGTCCATGTATAGTAGGATGAATACTCACTTCTTCCCATTTCATTGCCATTTGAACTTGGGGATTAATGAATCTACGTGGTGACCACAGAAACTTGGCCAGATTACACCCGCTGAGTATTTCTAATGAAATCAATTATTAAAGGATTAATGTATTTTGGTATATGGAGAATCTGATCCCTCACATTAAGGTGGCATAATAGCTTCATTGAAATTTGTTGCCATATTTCTGTAGTTGCAATACAGCACTTTGTGTCAGTTGCATTTCCAAGAAAAGAAGCATTGATATCTGGAGGATATCTGTTTTAAATAATTGGTTAAAGGCATTTTCTTTCTGCCAAAAAGAAGTTTTCTGGAAGCAGGGGCTTGTGCAAATAGATAGTTTATATGATTACTTTAGAAGGAATTTGGAACGTAAGGCTAAGCTGAACATTTGTAATAAGCATGCAGAAATGCTGAGTATATAGTACAGGATACAGTAGAATAGGCTCTGCTGAACTGCTCATCTATTCTTCATTCCTGGAATGAAGGGAAAACATACTATATTGAAATGTTTCTGTTGCTAGTATGGCACCATAGTGTGCCAAGTGCCTGTACAAACTAGAACAAAACTAGGGCAAAAAGGCCTCTGCGGGACAGATCCAGCTCACTAAGCGGGTGGATCAAGCCTGCGGAGGACCTGTTGCTCCCCTGTCCACAGACCTTAATTGGCCTGGGAGCATGGCAGCGCACGAAACCTCCTCCAGCCCTGCCAGGAGCATGTGGCACTTTGAAGCGCCGCACAGTGCTCGCAGGGGGCGGGGAGAGCAGAGGAGGCTTCGCGTGTTCCCCTGCCCCCAAGTCAATCAGGGTGTGGGGACAGGGGAGCAGCGTGAAGCTTCCTTCGCCCTGCCCCGGCCCTGTGAGGAGCCCACTTCAAAGTGCCACTTGCTCCTCCAGGGTGGGAGGAGGCTTCCCACGCTCCCCCGCCCCCAGGCCCTGATTGGGTGCCAAGCCTCTTCCAGGGCATGGGTGCTTAGTGGGAAGGAGGGGCAAAGGGGCAAAGGGGCTTCCAATTATGGTCTGGGGGTGGAGTAGCCCTGCCCCTTCCCATTTAGGCCCCTCCCCCTTTGGGGTGGCCCAGGGCTACTTCAAAAAATTTTGAAGTGGCCCCTGAGCAAAAATTATTGCCCACCCCTGGACTAGAAGAACACATGATCTTTAGCCAGAAAGGTTTGAAATCTAGCAAAACCACTGTCAAGATGAAGGCTGGGTGATGGTTTGGCCTGCAATAAAAGTCAGAGGTCTAGGGATAGATGGGGATGGATAGCTTTGTGTTCATTAAATCCATCAGGGAATCTTGCAAAAAGTAAGAGTTGGGGAACTGTTTTTTGGTTAGGGTACCACATCTGTGCTGTCTTAGGGTACGTCTAGACACATGCCTCTGGCAACAGAGGCATGTAGATTAGGCTACCCGGCAGAGGATAATGAAGCGGTGATTTAAATAATTGCCGCTTCATTTAAATTTAAATGGCTGCCACGCTGAGCTGATCAGCTGTTTGTTGGCTCAGCGCAGTAGTCTGGACCCTCCACTCTGTTTATCTGCTCAGCGCGGCAGCCATGTAAATTTAATTGAAGCCGCGATTATTATAATCGCGGCTTCATTTCCCTTTGCCGATCTGTCTAATCTACATGCCTCCATCGACGGAGGCATGTAGTCTAGACACACCCTTCATTACCAACACTTCCGCTGCTTACTGGGCTCTTAGAAGACATTTGGGCAAATTAGTGTTAAATAACAGCACAGAACACTAGAGCTGGGACTGGTGGCTTTAAACAAATGTTATGGGGTTGCGGGAAAGTTGGCCATACCCATGATAAATGGACATCTGGCTAACTAAAATCGTGCCAGACCATGAAGAGGTTCAACCAGTAATCGTACGATTTTTTGCATAGATTTTTAAAAACAATTATTTTACCCATGCATTCTGTTAAAAGTTCTTCGAAGAAGGAATCAGATTTCTTTCTGAGAGAGCTTATATCGGTCTCTGCCATATCCACAGATGTTGCCTGCAGATATATTGTAAACTTTACATAGTCATTTACTCTCATTCATGTGTACAGATTGCCATCATCTTTAGAATAAGCTGTTGTGCCTTTCTACAGACATCCCTTTAGTAGTATACTTTAAAACTTACCAGTCCACATTAAATGAACCTCCATAACGTTTACTAATTTTCTTGCTTTCATTCCCTTTAAAAAAGTAACATATTTGCAGAGAAAATTGACTATTAGTAGAGCTTTATTTTATTAAAGTATTTGATTAATTTTGCACTTTCCAACATAATTAAAAACTATACAAGAATATTGGTCACTAATACTGACTGAAACAATTGCAGTGTTGTAGCCCTCAGTGAGAACCCACCTGCTGTAATAATAAATAAATCCCAAGATTTCTCTGCCTATTTCTGACAATTATAGGGAACATATTTCAAGCTCAGAGACAGCCACTAAAAACACTGTCTTACTGATCCTGAACAGTTAACTTCCAGACACCTTTTTCTTCTTATGTTATTTAAAATGGACTTTGCCCTTTTTCCTCCTTTTTTCTTTATCATCATCCATCTCTGGAACTGTATAATACAGAGGAGCCTGTGAAAGTGTTTATTGGTTGTGGCCCAATTGTACTGGAGTATATTTTGATGGGCTCAGATTTGGGGATGCATTTCCTGAGTTTTGATTTTAAGTCTGGTTTAAGTTCCAATCCAGCAAAGCACTTTATACACATGAAATGAATATAGAACCATGCATGCACATAATGTTAAACATGCACATAAGTGTTTTGCTGCGTCATAGTCTTACTGGTGTCAGGATCTTGAAGGAGAGTTGTTCAACAAAACCATCCAATTTTTGGTTTTTTATTCTATGCTGATGTTTCTTCCTTGTGGGCCATTGCTGTTTGTGACATTTACATTTATATCCCACAAGAGCACTTTATTGATAAAAAGGAAGACAGTCTCTGCTATGAAAAACTTCTAATCCAAAGAAAAATCACAGGGTTGAAGGAATGGGACCAGGAAAGGGAAGACAGAGTGATAGGTGGCAGAGCCATGAAGTTAGGCATTTATCACATTAGTTATATAATAGAGGGCTACGTCTATATTGGCCCCTTTTCCGGAAGGGACATGTTAATTTCACGAGTCGTAATAGGGAAATCCACGGGGGATTTAAATATCCCCCGCGGCATTTAAATAAAAATGTCCGCCGCTTTTTTCCGGCTTTTAGAAAAGCCGGAAAAGAGCGTCTACACTGGCCCCGATCCTCCGGAAAAAGCGCCCTTTTCTGGAGGATCTTATTCCGGAGGATCTACTTCAAAGTAGGAATAAGATCCTCCGGAAAAGGGCGCTTTTTCCGGAGGATCGGGGCCAGTGTAGATGCTCTTTTCCGGCTTTTCTAAAAGCCGGAAAAAAGCGGCGGACATTTTTATTTAAATGCCGCGGGGGATATTTAAATCCCCCGCGGATTTCCCTATTATGACTCGTGAAATTAACATGCCCCTTCCGGAAAAGGGGCCAATGTAGACGAGCCCTATGTGTTTTCTCTCTGTGTCTCTGTTTTCAGCTAGAGTATTGTGTTCAAACTGCTTGGAGTGGACATCATGGGTTTATAAGGCTGGCATATGGAGGCACTATACTATTATTTAAAAAACTTCTGTAGAATGCTCCAAAATTAGCAATAGTTTTGGCAAAGAAAAGATATTTTCTTGTCCAATATTTGTTTCATAGAGATATGGAATTCATAGATTTCTTGTCTACTTGCTTTTTTCTCTGAAATTAGGTATCCGCTCTTAGCCTAAGATTTAATTTCTTTTTTTCTCAATAAACCTCATCTGTAGAATTGGTAGCAGGAACTGACACCTTTTTCTTTCTTTAGTGAAGGGAAGTCAGAAGTGTGAACTGAATTGCCGAGCAATAGGTTACCGGTTCTATGTGAGACAAGCTGAGAAAGTGATAGACGGCACACCATGTGATCAAAATGGAACTTCAGTCTGTGTTTCTGGGCAGTGCAAGGTAAGGCCAGCATCTTAATGTGTCTCTTATGCATTATGCAAGTTCCAATAATGATTGCTGTAACTGAATTTGTTTGGTTGGTTAACTTTACACGGACTGTATATTTTTCATACATATTAAAAAATTGTGTCCTCATCATACTTCAATGATATGTAAACCCATAAAAATAGGAACTTTGAGAAATGTGAAAATTTGTGTAGAAGTGTGTGATCGGTATTAAGATGACTTTCAGTGAACTTCCTCATACATTTTGCTTCTTGCAAAAGTGGTATTTTTCCCTATGTCAAATTAAACTCCTCAGTAATTTATTAACCAAAAGAATGCAAGTGAAAGTAAGAAAACAATTTTTTTTAGCTTTGGAATGTAGATATCCTTCTTCTTTCTCAGCTGAAACAGATGGTAAGACTGCCCATGAAAGCTCATGATACCATCTACATGTTTTCTTAGTTTTTAAGGTGCTACTAGACTATTCATTGTTTTTTAAGGTTTTCTAGTTACAGACTAACTCGACTACCCCCTAAAGCTGTTAAAGTACATGTCATTTAACTAGTAACACTGTATTTTTTCCCATCAGCCCAAACATGCAGTTAAGAGATGCAAATTATTCTCCTTATTGGTTATCCACTATTGTGTTTGTAGATCATAAATCATTGTAAATTCAATATACAGTCATTTCTCTGTGATCCATATTGTATTTACACAATCTACTGTGTGGATTTTCTTCATTAAGGGTAAACTATCAGTTCTGTGAGCAATAGCACTCTTATGCAAAATATGGTGTTTATATTTATTTAAAACCTTTGATGCAGTAAAATAAGAAAAATGTGTACAAAAAGCTCTTATCTGTTGAATTTACCAAAGAGACCTTGTTTTTTGAGTGTATGGTGAATGGTTGGGGGTTTAGAAAAGATATCTAATGATTGCAAATAATTACAATTTAATGCCGGATTCTTTCCAATATATGTAGGCAGAAGAAACATTCAAAAGTTTTAACCACTGGGACAAATATGACTCGTAAATCCAAATATGAAAAAGGACAAATTCAGTTTAAGTTGTTACTTTTCCTGAAGAAATAATCATATAAATACAATCTTTTCTATTAGTCCCGATTCCTCCTACTTGTACACATCTGGACAATGCCACGTGTATGTCTGTGTATTTTTAGCAGTACAGGCAATCTTAGACTTGTGTTTTCTTTATAGATGATAGATATATGAGAAGTTGCTTATCATTAAAGATCCCTTGATCTAAAACTGATTCATAAAGAGCCAGAAATTGTTTTTAATTACAATTCTGATCAGTGGCCAGCAGTGGAGTTGACCTAGCAACCATACTTGCTGGTGCTTTCTGCAAATACAGAATATAGGATAATGAATCTACATGTGTAGGTCTAGCGTAAAAAGGAATGATGGCTTTTCAGTCACCTAATGAGAAATAGTGTTCAGAATTTTGCCATCATGAAGTTTGTATGCAGGTTGTTAATGTCCAAACCTTTGAAAGAGATGTCAGAAGCCTAATATGTGTTCCAGATTCATAATATGAATATAAAATCAATGCTACCAGGGATTCCTTTGCTTTGTTACTTACTGTTATACTGCAATGTAGCCGGTTAGGGCTTCTGGAGGGGCTCCTCCGCCTCCGGGTTAGTGCGTGGCCACTCTGCCCCACGACTGCAGGCACTTAAACTTCCAAGTCAATAGTCCAAGCTCGGGTCTTGGGTGGCAGTAACAAAGAGAGGCCAATCGGTAGTCCCGTGTCCCCAGCCTTGTTCCAGGTGGGGTGACAAAAAAGCCGTTAGTTCAGAAGCCCTAGCTCAGGTTCAGGGCGGGCAGCAATCAGTTACAGTTAGTTCCGGAGTCCCATCGCCCAGGCCTTGCTTGAGACGGGGGCAACCAACAATACAGACAGTAAAGAGGCCTGGCCCCGGGTCAGGGCAGGGCAGCAACCAAACAGCAATAACAGTTCAGAGCGGGGCAGCAAGCAAACACAGTTATAACAATAGTTCATTAGCCCAGGCCTTGTTTCCTGAGGGGCAGCGACAACCACAGTTCAGTATCACAGGGGGAGCCGTGTTAGTCTGGATCTGCAAAGCGACAAGGAGTCCCGTGGCACCGTAGAGACTAACAAGACATCTGTTAGTCCATAAGGTGCTACAGGACTCCTTGTTGCAACCACATTTCAGGCTCCCGGCCCTGGTTCAGGGTGGAGCAGCAAACAAACGCAGTTCAGAATCCCTGGCCTTGGTTCAGGGCGGGACAGCAAACTCAGTTGAACAGTAGTCAGTAGTTTGCTACTCTCTTTGCTCAGGAGAGGTGCAGGCAATTAGCCTGTGGTGGCGGAGCAGGGGAGACTGCCACCTGGCATCCTAGCCCAGGGTCGTAGTAGCAGCAGCACAGCCTGTTGCTGGGTCAGCGAGGGTCCAGTCTACAACACTCCAAACTGGGCGTGCCTAATTGTTGTCAGTGTTCCCTGGGCCACTTCTCTTCTCCCCCTCAGCACATACCTGGGCATCAGGCCGGGCTCTCGGAGGTTCAAGCGTTGTCAGGTCCAGGTGGTCCAGGCCAGTCCTTGGCTACTTACACTTGATAAACTCTACCAGCTCCTTGATCTGAGGAAGTGGGTCTGGCCCACAAAAGCTCATCACCTAATAAACCATCTTGTTAGTCTTTAAAGTGCTACATAGTCCTGTATTTTGTTTCAGCTAGACTAGACTAACACGGCTACATCTCTATTACTATCAAGTTAGTATCTATACACAGCAATCGTTATGTTTATAAAATAATTTGCATTTCCATAACGCTTTCCAATGTAGGTACTCAATTTTTTATTAATACAATGTGTGATGTTGTGTATATGTATCCTTACTTCACTTTGGCTACGTCTACACTGGCCCCTTTTCCGAAAGGGGCATGCTAATTTTAAACTTCAGAATAGGGAAATCCGCGGGGGATTTAAATATCCCCCGCGGGATTTAAATAAAGATGTCCGCCGCTTTTTTCCGGCTTGTAGAAGTAGGAATAAGAGATCTTATAACACTAAACAAAAGAGGACTTTGACGTAGGAATAAGAGATCCTCCAGATTAGGGCTTTATTCCGGAGGATCGGGCCAGTCTAGACGCTCTTTTCCGGCTTATCTACAAGCCGGAAAAAAGCGGCGGACATCTTTATTTAAATCCCGCGGGGGATATTTAAATCCCCCGCGGATTTCCCTATTCTGAAGTTTAAAATTAGCATGCCCCTTTCGGAAAAGGGGCCAGTGTAGACGTAGCCTTTGTGCACCTGTTAGGGGATTTGGCTTAAACTGGGATGCTTTTCTGCGTTCTGCATGTTCATTTAGAGGGATGGCTACAGCTTATTTGGTTTCAAGAAAAATTAAATTTAAAACCTCCTTAATTATTGGACAAATGTGATTTTGTCTTCTTTGAAATAATGTGAAATGTTGTTCTTGTACGGAAAAGCTTTCACTCCAAGAACCACATAAGAGAAGCACCTGAAAGAGGATAAGTATTTAGAAATTTGTTGACTCTTTTTAGTGCATTCAGAGGAGGTGGGCTCCCCAGGAAGCAAACTAGAAACTTTAACCAGGTTCTTGGACTATTAAAATAATTCTGAAAATGTAAGTTTCAGAAAAGAGAACCTATTTTAAACTATCTCTATACTCACTCATAAAATCCCTCTTTTTTTCTTACGACTTTCTTCAGACTTCTGGGATTATTTTGTCTACTCTGTAAATTTTGCCACGCTATACTTTCTTGACCACCTGTTCTGACATGATTACCTTCCACATTTCTTCTTCCTGCCTTTGTATATACATGCTTTTACCTCATCTGCTCTCAACTTCTTTTGCAAGCATGGTGAGATCAGTAATTCAGTACCAGCTGTTTGTCTTTTTTAACCAACACAGTAACGTGAGTTGTTTGCATAATTATTATGTGATGAGTAGTTTGTAGTTATTTACAGTGAAATTATTTGATATAACCAAATGTGGTGTGGTTTCGCTGTGACTATAGGATGTTCATAATACTATCATAACTGATAACATGTACCATTTCCATTCATCTGATATACAATTATCTCATTCTCCATTTCAGTAATTTAAAAAACTTGTTTGGAATGTGTAATTCTTCCATTTTGTCTGTACTTAATGTTTTTTGCTTTGATTCACCTTTCTTTTCACTATTTTTGTAGCTATCTTATTCCACCTTTTTTTTCTTTTTTGGTCTTGTTTTTATTTCAGTTACTTTGATTCTAGTTGTAGTAGTGATAAGTGAACCTCAAAAAGTTCATTTACTATTATACCGGGTGAGAACCTTCTCTGTCCTATTCACTTGAGCCAATGAAACTGAGCAAGACTTCTCATGAGAACAAACTTTTGATGCAACATTTCTGACACTTCTTGTTAAGACACAAATATGGCAAGCATAGTTTTTCATGTACTATTTTTGCATTTCCTGTTTCTGGTTCCGGATGGGAAGATGAAGATGCATAACACTAAACAGGTTGGTTCAGGTTTTAGACAGAATTGAGGACAAGTGTATAAAAGTTATCTGAATTCCTTCACCTCTTTATAACTCATGGAATATTTATGTAGTCACTTTTGATTTATTTATGGGGGATTCATCTATGAATTGATACAAATGTTTTGGGTCTGTTAATTAGGGAGTAGTATTTGTGGAGTCTTGGCTCTTTCTCGTCAAGCAAACAAACAAGTCAAGGTTATCTAGTATAGTTTAATATTCCTAGGTATGGCAGTGAAGGAATAGGTGGGAACAAACCCTTGCTCTCACGTTACCTGTCACAGGTACTCCAGATGTGACCAAACAAGTATTGCCGCCTGGAGGGGCTGGATATTTTCAGCCCAAGATTAAAAGCTTCTGTCTTCAAACAAAAGCTGGTCGCGTTACAGGAAACTGCTTCTGAATGGAGCTTGAAAGGTACGAAAGAATCTTGCCAATAAAACTGCAGAATTGAATGGAGCCCAAATGTTTTTCTTGGGGATT